CTGAAAACGTCAGCCACGGCCTCTGGGCCTGCGGCAGGCAGGGGGCACGGGCCCAGACTTCAGACGGCTCGCTGCAAGGCAGGCTGCCTGGCGGTGGGAGCCCGGGGGCAGGGCAAGGTCACGGGTGGAGCAGGCTCGGGGAGCCGTGTGGCGGGAAGGCTGCCCCCACTCTGGAAGTGGCATCGAGGCCATTAGGCAGCAAGTCTCTGGACAGCAACTGGGGTGTACAAGGTTCTGCATCCTGGGATGGGGTCAGGTGAGACCAGGGAGGGGATGGGGGCTCTCAGGTTTCAGCGTCACACTGAAATGCGGACAGGAAACCCAGTCGGAAGTACGGAGGACCGGGGAAGAGAGCATCTGGCAGCCCCAGGGTTCCCCAGAGACACAGCACACGTGGGCCCACAGCAGCAAGACCTTCTGCAGACCCGGGGGGGCGCTCCTGGAGCACGTCTGCCTCCCTCGGGACAGGTGCAAGCTGGCAGCGAGGGATCTGCGCGGGGAGGGCCTCAGCCCTCGCAGCTGCCCAGGACGGGCGGCTCCGGGGATGGCCGGGGACAGATGGAGCCGGGAGAAAATCCACACTGGGGGCCCGGGCTCGCCCTGTCGAGAGGGGCTCCCTTACGAGTCCACTTCCGGCAGGAAACCACCACATGAAGCGAGGGGAGGGAGGGCGGCTTCGTGAAGCCGGAGCAGCTGAGCTCAGGCAGCCGAGACAGACGGACAGAGGAGAGCGGACGCGGGGACGGTCTCGGAAAGGGGCGGGGCCTCGGGCGGTGCTGCTGGCGGCGTGGGGCTACGTAAATGTACGTGGAAATTAACGACGATAAATAAAATCCAAAACCTCAGTGCCTTGGTCGCACTAGCCACACGTCGAGTGTGCAGAGCCACAGGGGCCAGCGGCCGCGTTATAGACAGTGCTCGCGGAACATTCCAGTTATCCCAGAATGTTCTGTTAGTGCTGGTCTAGGGGCTTCTTTCATCCCTTAGGTTTGAAATGCCTTTGGGTCCTAATTTGCCTGGCGACAGGAAAGCGGGCCCGGAGGCTTCGGTCACTCCAGTTCACGAAAGCTGGGCCCGGAGGCCGAGGGGGGTTTTCACTCGGACCGTTCTCAGGCTGGGGGGAGGACCAACAAGGATTCGATCACGGAGGTCCAGGGGCGCCCCCACCCCGGGCAGGTGTGAGGGCAGAGAGTACTGCCACTCCCCGAGTGGGCAGCGGCCCAGCGAGGGGAGGGTGGCGGGGCCCTGCTGCCTCACCCCTCCGTGCCTGCCAGGAGGGGCGTCGAAAACCTTCCGCCAGCAGACCGACTCCTGCTGGCGAGACGCTTGTACCCCGGCCTGTCGCTCATGGCCCCCTGCAGCTCGCAACGTCCTTCTGAGACAGCGTCAACGGCAAATCCCAGGCAGCCGGTGACAGCATCACCCCTGCGGGTACCACAGCCCGCGCTGAGATGGGGCGGCCGAGGCTCCCGTGCTCCCCCTCCAGGACGACGCCAGCACGGCCAAAACCGCCCAAGCCTGGGGGCTACTCCGGCCCATGCTGTTGGCCCTGAAGGACAGCCATGTGGCCCTGCCACTCTCACCTCAGGCAGAGGTCGTTTGGGACATTTAACTGGCATCATATTGAGTCTGTGGATCAGTCTGAGGAGAAATGACATCTTGACAATATTGAGTTTTCCAGCTCATGGACATTGATGTATCTCTCCCGTTATTAGCTTGTCTTTGATTCTTCTCTCTAAAATTTTATAGCTTTCTCTGTAGAGGTCTTAGCCACTTTTTGTCAGATTTATTCTTAGGCACTGGATATTTTTCAGTGCTTATCGTATCTTTAAGGGTATCTTAAAAATTCTTTTGCTGTCTTTGCTGGTAAACTTCAGTTCATAATAGGACAACCCAGCCCCTCAGTTGCCTTCAGAACACTCCAACCAAAATCGTCACTGCCGGCCACCTGGTCCTGCACGGTCACGTAGGGACAGGGACCCTTCAGGCACCTCCGGGCAGCTGTCTTGCTTCCAGGGAAGGCGTTTGCCCTGGTTTCCTGGAGGTGTTCGCGTCAGTGCCACCATCACCCACCTGCTCTCTCGGACCATTGCCACGGAGTCCTGAGGATTTGTGGGGGGCTGAATTTTCCTAAGCTGGTTTCTATGCACCCCTAATTTTTGTGTGAAGATTTCTGTGAACAGAGTGTGGACGTAGGGAGGGGCGCCTGGATTTAGGGCAGGAACTTACTTGAGTCCACTTTCCACAGTGTGGTGAGTGCAGATGCAAAGGAAGACCGTACCCACGATGGGTACGGCCACTGTGGTGACGACAGCGAAAGAATGAAGCAAGCGGACCCCTGGCCGCGTGCCCGCCGGCCCGTCACAGAGACTAAAGGACAAAGAAGCAAACTCGAGCAGGGACGACGCCAGATAACTGCCCCCCCGATTACAACGAATGTTGGTCTCCAGCTCCCTGCTGCCTGGCTGTCCTTCCGCTGTGAACTGTGGAGGCGCAAACACTTCTATGTCGTGTGTAAACAGTATGCCAGGGACACACAGAGTGCTGCACAGAATCCTAGTGAATGGCGAGCCCGGGAAGCTGTCGTGGGTTTCAGGTCACCGTTAGAAGCTGCTGGTTCTTGGGCCAGACCCAGCTAGATATTTCTTCCAGAACTTCGATGGTTTCTGGTTTGGTTTTCCGCCTGAAAATTTTGGGGATGCTTTCCTGGAGTCTATTTGTGAGTGAAGAAAACAGCTCAGGGAGAATCCAGGGACCCTGGCTCCACTTCGTGCCCCCCTTATCCCTCCCTTGCCGGAAGTCCCCTCGTGGGAGCTCACGGGAGGCTCAGTTTCCCTTCTCTTCACACCACAGATCGACCCTGGTGTGAGTGAGACGCAGATGGCCCCAGAATGGCTCTCATCCTTCTTCGGGAAGAGTCTCTCCTTTTTTGTTCCATGTTCTCACAATGGAAAACCAGGGATGGAGGAAACTAGGAGGCACTTCCTGACCAGGCCACCCCGACTGGTTACTTCCTCAGAAAGTGGCTCGTTCCTTGACTTGCAGGATTTGGGTAGAGTGTCCTTCAGGTGGAGGTTCCTGCAGGTGTCACCTTCATGGGCTTCCTAGGGAAGGGTGCCCAGTCCTTCTCCTGTGCTCTTGAGACGTGATTCAGAAAGTCCACTGCAGGGCTCTGCAGACTGCCATAGACACCATCAGAAACAGAGCTGAGTCAACTGTGGGATGAATCCAGACTTTGAAATATTTAAACCGTGTGTCTCATAACCCTAGATGAAGCCGATGCCCGTTTCCCCACAGAGAAGACGTCGGCTGAGACCAAAGCGCAGCTCGGCAGTGACCCACACTCCTGGCCTCCAGCCATGGGGCTGTGGGCAGTGGACCTGTCGGTGCTCCTGGGCCTGGGGCTTGGGACAGGGCCCTGTGTGGGAGGTACTGTGGCCCTGAGGAAGGTGGCCAGGGCCATTCAGTGGTCCTCTCCATACCAGGACAAAATGCGTGTCCCTAAATGGAACTGGACTTGGACAGGAAAGTGGAAAAGAGCATGTTTGCTTCTCCAGAGGAGGCAGGAAGCACCGTGTCCTCACCAGATCCTGCTGGTTGGGAGTCTTATTCTCTGCCAATCAGCCGCAGCCCTTAGGCGTTCTTGAGTGTAAGGACGCTGTCTTACCTTTAAATTCCCCAAAGTTCATTTCCTTCTTTCTAAAAATAGCCGGCAGAGCTCTGGCACGGAGGAGTGCTGGCTGACAGCTCGGTGCGGCGGGAATCCGTGGACCACAAGGTCAGAGGGACTAGATTCCAATCCCGGTCCTGCCGCTGATTAGCGGTGTGATGAGCACTAGGCACTTCACTGCTCCAGCCTCGCTTTCCTCCCCCCTTCAGCGGGGGTGCAAATACCCATCTCACAGGGTGTTTTGAGGATTACACTCGACGATATATGTGTAGCACATGATACGGCGTCAAAAATATTAGTTGAATATGAATTCAAAGCAGGCTACGGATATCTTGTCGATGAACATGGACGCAACAGCCAAGGAGGACCCTTCCCCACCCCTAATCGGTCCTGGGGGGACAAGTAAGAATTTGAATAAAAACAGGAGATATCGCCAGGCTCCTCCTCTGGCCTCCTGCTGACCTGCACGGTATCTGGGAAAACTACTGAAGGAAGGGAGGGGAAGGTTCAGAAAGCGGGAGGCATTTTCTTGTCTGCAATTGCACGATTTTCCTAGAACTCCTCATCGCTTTCCAGAATGTGCTACAGCAGCTGGGGGACCGCTGAGAGGCTTCCCTCAGAAGTAGCTTCCATTGTGGTGAATCCCAGGCCAGTGGACGCTGGTGACTCTGACCTATCACACCAGGACAACAGCGCTCGGCTGGCCAGAAAGGGCACAGATAATCCAAAGTCACAAGCAATCCAACCTTCCCTACCCTGCCTCATTCAGCCAACGGGCCCAGTCTTTTCTCCCTCACAAGAAGCAAAGCAATGTGCAGGCAGCTGCTCTCCCTGCACGGGCGGGTATGCGCAAGCAGGTGCCCCCGGCTGGAGCCCTGAGCCCCGCACATGTGCAGCCCTGGCCAACGTTCTTACACGAGGTTGGTCTGTGGGGCTGGCAGAGTGGGCAGAGGGTAGAGCAGAGGCTGAGCGGATCTGGGGGGCTGGGCCAGAGAGGTTTGGTCTGCCAGTCTGTAGGCACACTTTCTTCTACGTTATGTACTGGGGAAGGGGGCCAGAGCGGGATGGGAAATGGGGGAGAGGGATTATCATCTGCCTTTGCTAGAAGGAGGGGCTCAGCTCAGGGAGCAATCTCCTTCCTGCACGTCCCAGCCGGGTCCAAGACTGTGAGCTGAGAGTCTGTTTCGAGGGTGGCTCTTGGCAGGTGTAGGAGTTGGAGCGTTTGTCCTGGAGAAGGGGTGGTCCTTCACGACGCCTTCTCCCCCACTCTCCTGCTTTCACGCCCGCACTCCCAGCCCTTCCTGCCCGCCCTGCAGCCTGTGAGGCCTACCTTTGGTTTGAAGGCAATGAGCTTCAGGATCATCTCGACGGTGAAGAGGCCGGTGAAAAGCATGTTGAGGATGTTCATGGCGATTTTGAACAGGCAGCTCTGGCCGTAGTGCTGCCCAGGAAAGGGGAGCCGTGAACACGGGGCAGGGCTGCCTCTCCTCTCCCCGCCTTGGTCCAGCCCTCGCGGAGCCCTCGTCTCAACAGAGATCCTCCGTGGACCAACCCCCGAGGGCCACCCACCTCGCATGGTCAATCAGGTGGACTCAGGGAGCCCCCACGTTCTTTCCTGCTCTGCCATCTCTAGAAACAGAGATTGGCAGAGTTCTGTGCTCCTTCCTGATGGGCTGCGACGATTTTGTGGAGAACTCTGGCTCAGGAGAGCTGGGCCATAGCGGGACCCCTGAAGATAGGTGGCTGTGGGACCACCCTACTCACACCACACCTTACACGCCAAGCTCACCCTCTCCGTTCTGCATTTCCTCCCCTCTCTCCCTTCCATCAACTCAGAGTCCTGTGGATTCTTTCCTAAGGCCCCAGAGAGGAGCTCACTGTGAGAAGGGACACTCATCTTTCTGCCTCCCTTGGCGACCAGGAAGGGGCAGTGAGCTGGCCTGCTGCTACCCTACACTTCCTACACTCTCGTAGCCACCTGCTCCCGCAGGCAGCCTGGGACGGACCCCTGGACTGACCTGCATGGCCAGGCAGATGGTGTTGAGCAGGATGAGGACGAACATCAGGTACTCGAAGTAGGTGGAGTTGACCACGTACCACACTTTGTACTGGTGCTGGTTCTTGGGGATGTACCTTCGCAGGGGCCGGGCCTTGAGGGCGTACTCCACGCACTGTCGCTGCGGGTGGGGCGGGGGCAGGAGAGAGTGGGGTTAGCTACCTGGATGAGGTGGGGGGATGCAAAGAGGGTAGGATGTCCATGAAGTCACACACCTGGGTGTAGGTTCTCCAGAAACCGGAGATACCACCTATTGCTCTAGCTCAGTCGCAGGTTTGAGAAGGCGTTTGGAAAACGTTTGGATTTTCTACTGCTCCCTTAATCAAGGAGAGAGTCCCTTCTAGTCCAAACTCCTCGTCTAGATCAGAAAGGAGCAAGTGTCTCTTTTTCTCCCCTCGGCAATGCCCGTGGGCTGCTCGGCAGGGCCGGCAGGTGACGCCTGTGTGCTTGCTGACCGACTGAGGCTCGGTCCTCCCGCTGGTGAGTCCCTACGCCACAGACTCAACTTCTCTTTCCTGCCCTCAATCGATCGTCCTGCTTTGCCGGCATCCGCAGATCGGAAGACACGGCCTACTGACGGGAGGAGACCTGGGCTAACTGGATTCTCAGGCCTCCAGCGAAGGTCCAGTCCGTTTCTCTGCACCGCACTCAGATTCCCAAACCAGGGGCCAGATCCCCCCTGCCTCCCCTCGCTCCCTCAGCCTCCCCACTGTCACCTCCTCCTACTTTCCCACCTCCACTGTCAGGAACCTGACACTGCGTCAGGTCTTCCTCATCCGGAATTTCCACCTTCCAACTGGCCCCCCTTCTCTTTCACCTTCAACCCACAGTCGCGCAGCAGCCAGAATGACGAGTCTAAACCTAAGACGCAGACATGGAAACCCCCAAGGGGTTCAGCCGCCCAATTAGCGCATGCAGACTGTTGTGTATGACTGCGCCCTGTCCCTTCCCACAGCAGTCCTTATTCCCAAGCAGGGCTGCATTTCCCCAGGGACTCTCCCCACCGGGAACCTAGCTGGGCAACGGACCTCGGTAGCTACACCTATGTCCCACCCTAGCAGCCCTGTGAGTCACCAACGGCACTGCCGGCTGTCCTTCACGGGCCACCAGAACCCGCCATAGACTTGGCATCACTGTCTGACTCCCACTTAAGCCTCTTTCCTGTCCCCACCTCCTGCACAGGCCTCTGGGTTTTACTTAAGAAACCACGTAAGAGTGGTTTCCCAAAGCCCCAAAGCGCTCACTTCCGTGTAGTTCTAGTTTCTCTCCTCTGTACCAACAGAGCCACCCACCTGGGTACTTGCTAACTTGTCAGCTTCTCATAGGGCATAAGATTCTTTGCACAAGGCCTATCACAGAGGATCCTTAAGTCGAAGCTTAACACATATTTGCTGGCTGGATGCGTTTGCCAGATCTGGGGTTTGCGGGGATTTGCTTTTCTTTTGCACAGGCCCCTCCAAAAGACCCAGACCGTGTGTGTATATGGCCCTTCGCTCTCTGCTGTCGCCGTGGCCCGCGGGCCCTGCTTCCCCCTTCCCAGGAGGCTACCTGGTTCTTGTCCAGCTCGCAGTTCTTGTACTCCTGCTCGCCCTGCTCCTGGAAGGTGACGATGACGAAACCAACGAAGATGTTCATCATGAAGAAGGCAATGATGATGATGTAGATGATGAAGAAGATGGAGATCTCCACGCGGTAGTTGTAGATGGGGCCCTTGTCTTCCGTGTGGGAGTCGATGGAGCGGTACAGCAGCCTGGAGGGGAGACAGGTCCCACAGAGGGAACTGGAGGAGCAGTGTCACCTCTGCGGAGTGAGGATCCCTGGGGATCCCTGGATGAGGTGCAGGAAATAGCTCCAGGCTGGAGCCAGGAGGTCTGGGCTCAAGTCCCAGCCTGGCCACTTGCTGGCTGTGTGACCTTGAGCAAAGTGGTCAATTTCTCTGAGATTCAGACTCTTCCTCTGTGAGAGGGAGACAATAATTCCTGACCTCCTACCTCGCAGGGTAGTTGATATGATGTACACGAAGGTGCCCTGACACTGTGAAAACCATTTAAATGTAACATAAGTCATGGACATTGATTGTAAATACTGGAAATACTGGTAAATATTGAAACAGCTTTGCAAAACGGCAGGGACTCAGAGGATGTTAGAGGGAACACAAAATAAATCTCTCTGAGAGCAAATATCCAGTTAGATAAAAGTACTGACGTGACAAAGCTTATTCAGATCGTCAACGGTGGTTTGGTTTTATACCTAAGCGGTTTACAAATGCACATCGTCCACTCGGGCCTGCGCTGCACCCCATGAAGCTTGTCACTCTCGGCGGACAGGGATTATCTCCTCCCTTCCTCTGTAACCCTGCGTGGTATTTGGCTGTTGTCTGGGTATCACCTATATTTTACCACATAATAACGGCGACTCTCATCTAAGATCCATGCGCTGTTCTTGACTTAGAAATAAGTTACAGGATTTTCTGATTTTTACAGCATAATTTCACTGGAATACACATTGGGGGAAAAGCGGGTGTCTATACAAAGCGATCTGGAGCACGTGCAGGAGAGCTGCCTGGCAGGGTGATCAGTGTGCGAGGCCACAGCCGGCCCAGGCATGCATGCACGGCCTCTGCAGAGGGGCCGGGGCTTGCCCCCGCCGTACGTGTAGACAAGGCTTTCTCGAAGGAGCCGGGGTAGAGGCGAACACAACAGAGACACTTCAGTTGTCCCCACCCACACTGAGTGCACGCTGGGAGTGGCCATCTTGAATCCGTGGTGGTCAAAGGGCCCACACTGGAGAAACGCTTCCTGTGTCCCACTCCTAGGTGTCATGAGGGTGGTGACAGAGCACAATGTCAGCCACCCTGACATTGTGGCTCTTGCTGAGGTTGGAAAGAGAGCTAAAAAAAAAGGTCAGTTTTGGTTTCTAAAATGGTGACATCTGGCTGGGCATGGTAGTTCATGCCAGTAATCTCAGCATTTTGGGAGGCTGAGGTGGGAGGACTGCTTGAGGCCAGGAGTTTGAGACCACGCCTGGGCAACGTAGTAAGACTTTGTTTCTACCAAAAAAAAAAAAACCAAGAAAAAAGAAAAAAAATGAGCTAGGTGTGGTGGCACATGCCTGTAGTACCAGCTACTCAGGGGGCTAAGGTAGGAGGATCACTTGAGCCCAGGAGTTAGAGGCTGCCACAGTACTCTGGCTTGGGCGACAGAGCGAGACTGTCTCAGAAAATAGAATAAAATAATAGAATAATATGATAACATCTTCGGCAGTGACTGTGGCCTGCAGGTGGTTTAGACACACACCCTCATCGCCCGGGGAGGACACAGGTGAGTAGGACTGGGACGGAGTGCCAGTAGGACTGGCAGGGAGACTGACAGATAGCAACAGAATTTGAGGACTGGCTGGAGGGCCACTGTGTTGGGGGACAAGACTGTGGTCTGCTCACTCACTCTGGCCACCCCTCGAAGGTCGAGACCGTGAAGAGGGCCATCATGGCTGCCAGGACATTGTCGAAGTCGAACTTGCTGTTCTCCCAGCTGCGGGGCTGGATGATGGGGTGGTCAACCTCCCCGTCCTTGTATGTGATATAGTTACCCCTGAGAGGAGGAGAAAGAGTCAGTTCTGGGCCCTCCCATCCCCCTTCACTCCCAACCCACCTGACCCCTGCATACTGGAGACTGGCCAGGCTTGAACCTCAGTATCCTAGCCATTTGGAAGCACCTCAGTGCATAGAACCTTCAGGAATAGAAAATGTTACATGTCCTGTCAATAGGACCAGATGGCATTGGGTGAAAGCCCCGGTGCCACTGTGGTCTGAGAAAGAATGAGCTGTCCATCCTTTCCAGCCAGGTTCCCAGCCTCCCAGGTTTGACCGGCCAGGGCGCTGGCCACCCTCCTGCCACGACTCACTTGCATTCCGCCTCGGTCTGCTTGGAGCTGTCCGAGCAGGTGTAGAGCTTTCCCTGGAGGGCAGAAGGACAAAGTGATTAGGGATGGTCATTGATCAATGGGTCAATCGAAAAATGATTCCTGAGCATCTCCAAGCCCAGCACGGTGCGAGTGGCTGTGGGTGGCGTGCAGAGTCCAGAGGGGAGACACGGCTCCACGGACAGAGCACACGCGGGAGCTCAGGGCCGCAAGTGCCACTGGAGTGCAGAAACAGAGCTCCACTGCGTGGAGGGTGGACTCTCTAGGACGGTCTCGTGAGGACGGGAGAGGCAGAGCTGGGCTCGGAGGGATGCCCTAGACGGAGGACGGCGGACGTGTGCGTGGTGGCGTGGAGTGCAGGGCAGAATGCTTCGGGGGGAGAACAGCAGAACCCTTAAAGGGTTCGGGCAGGAAAGAGCAGAGCCCCAAGAGAACTCCGGCCTGCTCGCAGCTGAGGGCCTCGTCAGGGAGCCGGCTGGGACAGGCGCAGGGCTCTGGAAGCTGCACAGCACAGGGGCAGGTGAGGCTGCTGATAGGAAGTCACCACTGTGGGTTTTCCGCAGGTGACTGGCACGGAGGTTCCAGAGGATGGAAGTCCTCTCCCTTTCTTGCTAGGAGGAAGGGCAGTGACCTGGAGGACAGGCAAAGCCGAGGGGGCAGGGGCCTCTGCCTGGAGGAGCCAGGCCTCCTTCCAGCCATGTCCTCGACTGGTCTGGGAGCTCGAGTCGGGCTGCGCATGGAGGTGACATCCATGCCAAGTCTGACCAACTACTGTCCTGTCTTTGTCACATCCGCCAGTCCCCTTGCTGGGAATGCCGACAGGAGGGGCAGGCAGCAGGGCCATACACCAGAGCCAAGTCCGTACCTTGAAGAGCTGGACCCCGATGCAGGCGAACATGAACTGCAGCAGTGTGGTGACAATCACGATGTTCCCGATGGTCCGGATGGCGACGAACACGCACTGAACCACATGCTGCAGTGGGAAGGGGGTGGGGGCGGAACGTGGCTTCAGGAGGTGGCTGCAGCCTGAGCTCCAGCCACGCCGCGAGCCTCCCCGGGAGGTAGCATGGCGGCCCCTTTGCTGCAGGGGGACAAATCTGGCTGAGGGGACAAAGCAACCTTCCCAGGGTCACGTGGGGAGTGATGGGCCCTGAGGAGACACAAAGTCCCCATTGGACACTAGTGACTGCAAGGACAAGAGCCCTGCCAACTTCTCATTTTACAGCAGTAGGAATATAGGATCGTGTCCCCGCGTGGGGGCACTGGGCTCATGTGGGGCCCGCCCCTGTGTGGTTCTGCCTGGCAATCAGGTTTTGAACGCTGCCTCTGCGGTTATTCTGTTCATCACGGAACCGGGCCATGGAGCAGGGCCGGCATCCAGGCTCCAGCACAGAAGCCACATGGCCCGACCGTCAGCCCTCCTTCCACCCAGCGTTCACAGCGCTCCGCTAACCCACAGGCCAGAAGACGCCGCGTCTCACCTTTAGCCCCTTGGCCCTGTTGATGGCCCTCAGGGGCCTGAGCACTCGCAGAACTCGCAAGATCTTCACGACGTTGATGGCGCTGGACCTGGGAGGGAGAAACAGGCAGGTGGTAACTTCTCCTGCGTCTGCTGGAGCAGGAGACAACGTACTGTGGTGTCCGGACGGGCAAGTCCAGGCAACCTGAGAGGAGGCACAGTCTGTCTCGGGGACTCTCTCACTCTGGGACCATTCTCGACTCTTGTTTCCCCCCATAAGAGCCTGGAGCTTGCCTGCGACCCTGCTCGTGAGTAAATAACATGAAAAGCAATGAACCACGAGTTGTTAGCAATCTCCTGTGCTACTCACGGGGCATCTGTAGGGTCAAAGAGGGGAGACTCGGAGCAAGGCCGCCTGAATTCAGACCCCAGTGTGGCCACCCGCCGGCCAAATCACCAAGGACAAATTTCCTAACTTTTCTGTAAAATGGGGCAGTAATCAGCTCAGAAGGTGGCCGCAAGGATCCAGTGAGAATTTCATGCGAATCATCTAGCCATCCGTGTGCTTGGCACGTATCAGGAACCGAATAGATGGAAGCTTCTGTCCTCGTGCCTGCGGAAGGCATCACTGTACCTAAAGAAACACTACACTAACCGGGACGTCAGCTTGTGGCTGGAGGTGGAGGGTGCGGGCAGGAGATTTCTTGTGCTCATCTCCATCACACCTGTGTGCAAAACCCACTCCGCTTCACTGCACATTCTGGGCTCCAAGAAAGAATGGTCTCCACCGCAGGCTCCATGCACCACGGAGGCCAAGGCCCACGAAGCCAGAGCTTCTGGGGGCTGCAGGCAACTCCCCAGGGGAGCAGAGGCAGAGAGGAAGGCAAGACGCCTGGACGGTTCGCGGAGTTACGTGCACCCCACATGGGCTTATTTGCTGCGCCAGGCGGGTAAGCAACTCTGAAGCACACTCCAACCTCACACGCCACCATCTGATGAGACGCCCTCGCGAGCATCTGGAGAGCCGACTTCCACTGAGGGACCGAGGGATGTGCACACGGCAGCAAGGCCCTCTCACCGTCCGTGGGATCAGGTGACGCACTCGAGAGGAACGGGCAGAAAGACGCGATTTCTCTGGCGCGTGGCTCTCTCACTCCAGAAGCTCCAAAGGGCAGCCCTACCTAGCACTGCGTTTCTCCCACTGTAGCTCTGCGAGGGAGGCGGTTTGCACGGAACCGCGTGGAGGGACGGGGAAAACACAGGTTAAAGAGGAGGAATTCCTGGTTCAAGGTTAAATAATGATTTAGCAGTGGTGCTGGGATTAGAATCCAGACCTGCAGGCTCCCTGGCAGAAAATCTGGGTAATACAATTGATGATCACAGAAAAGGGTCTCTTTATCACGGCCCCGGCCCCACCTGAGCCCGGCTGAACACCACAGCACCCTCGGGAAGGGAGGCCCAGGGACCCCGGGACTTAAGCCTTTCTCTGCCATCGGTGTGGCCTTGAACAAGTCTCATGATGTCCAGATCCTCAATTTTCCCACCTATAAAATGATGAGAGCAACACGTGCCCTACCGACTCCATAGTTTGTTTTTTGCGGGGACCGGAGAAGAATGTGGATGGGAAAGTGCTTCGGCAGTTGAAGTGCAGGATTAACATCGTCAGTTTCTAGAACTTGGTGGAAACTAGTAATCAGATGCTTTTAAACCAGCAACCTTGGCTGTAGAGGGAAATCACCTGGAAAGCTTTTAACACTTCTAAAGCCCAGACTGTATCCCAGACCAATTAAGCCAAAAACTCTGGGGGTGGGATCCAGGCAAATGTCTTTTTTTTTAAGCTGCCCAGGTGATTTCACTGTGTAGCCAAGATTGAGAACAAGTAATTTCTCTCGCTCTCTCTCTCATGCACACACACACAGCCCAGGTGCTTTACCTGGAGAGACAGGTGAGAGAGAGCAGGGGAGGGTGGACCAGGAGGCCAGGGCAGGCCACGGCAAGGGCAGGCTCAAGGGTGCAGGGCAAATGGCAAGGAGGTAGGACAGGGCTGGAGACACCTGTTTCTTAATAACTGGGCCTGGCTCTGCCTGCCATAGCAAAATCCAGGCATTTAAATACATTCCTGCTGGATCAGCATGCCCCCAAGTGTCACAGCATTGAGGACACGGATACAAGAAGTTAAAGCCGCCATGTGGTACAACCTCGGAGGCCCCAGCCCATTCTCATCAGTCACACGGCGATGGCCCTGGAGGCCGGCCCTACTCACTGTATGCCAAAGGAGATGAGGGACACGCTGACCACCAGCAGGTCCAGGATGTTGAAGTAGTTCCGGCAGAAAGAGCCCTTGTGCAGGAAGGCCCCGTATGCCGTCATCTGCAGGGAGGCAGAGGAACATGGGGGTGAGTGGCCCTAGCCAAGCTCCAGAGACCCCCTCACACCACCCTTTCCTCCCACAGCACCCACTGGGCAGGCCCCCAGCACTGCAAGAGGAATAGGAAGGACCAGAGGAGGAGACGCCATGCCAAGAAAAGGCTCTGCAGCCACCACACAACCACCAAAGAACCCCCGGCTCGGGCCATGCACGTGGCTCCTTGCACCCATCAGACCACGCCAGACTCTGCAGTGCTACATTCAAAGCCCTTTCGGACGGGCCCGCTACCCTCTCTAACTGTGCACGCTCCTGCAGGCCCCGTGCTGACGCCGCCCGCGCTGGGTTTCCCTGGTGCTCACTCCCCAGCTTCCTCTCCAAGCTCTCTCGTCCTCGGCCAGCCAAAGGCACCAGGCATCTGGGAGAGGGAGGGAGCATGCCCAGCAGGGTGACCAACTGTCCTGGTTTGCCCTGCCTGGACTCAGCTGGCTTTGTCCCTGGAAGTTCCCCTATCTTCGACAAACTGAGCACTGGTCACCCTATTGCCCTGGGAGGAGGTCTACTGACAACTCTGGCAATGAGTATCCCTCCCCCTCCCGGCCTCGGAGGGTGCTGCGATCCGTGCTGGGCACTCCAAACCCGAGTCTGTTGTCCGCTTCCAGACGGCACCTGGGCCCTGTACGCGCAAGCACTGTGTGCTCAGAGGGCAGCGTGGTGCAGAGACCGAGAGCACAGGCTTGGGCCAGGCAGCCTGGGTTGGAACCCAAACTCTATCACAGTTTATTTGTGTGACCTGGAGCAAGTTCCTTAACCTCTCTGCACCTCAGTTTCCTCATCTGAAATGAGGACAATGGTAATACCTCCCTACAGGGTTCCGAGCATCGGTGGAGTAATTACATGTAAACCACTCAGACCAGCACCCTGCGGAGAGCAAGCCCCATGCCAGCCTAGCTGTCACTAGGGCTTGGACGTGAATTCGTCTCTTCCTGTATGAGGGCAGTTCTGCTTCCTCATCTACAAAGTGGGAGGCTCACCCAGGAAACAATAGGGAAGCCCTTTGAAAACTTTTAAAAAGAGAACACATGAGATGATGATTGTCACAAGGCCTGACCGTCATTACCTCCCCAGAGCCCGGTACAAAGCCGTGCGCTGTGGGTGCCCAGCAAATAGCCTTTCCAGCCTTCCCCGTTCTGCCAGCTTGAATAGGGCCCATGGATATCCAGGGCGAGGGCCGAGAGAGGCCAGGGCGTGGAGCACCAGCCAGAGGGAAACACGTAGGGCTGCGGGCTGAGAGTGGCCCCCTTGTCACCCAGGGTCCAGTTTGTCTCTTTGCAATCAGAGCATGTCCAGGGCAGCATGCCCACAGAGCCATTGAAAAGCAAACACAGGGGGAAACGGGCAAAAATAGCTCTTGCAACCTAATTCCTTCCATTTATCTCTTGCCACAGGGGGTCCCCGGGGACTCAGGCACCTGTGTTCTGCAACGGCTTTTAGAAGTGGGTGGGTAATATAAAAAGTTGCAGGGGAATATGGCCGCGGATCTCTCCTGAAGGCTTGCCTGGTTTCTCAGAGAAGGCCCGGGACCCCGAGACTGGACTTGGGCGGGCCGTAGCGCGCACTAACCCCGGAGGCTTCTGTGCCCACGGTGTGGGAAGGCCTACACCGCGTCCAGCCACCTCGCTATCAGTCTTAGGGAAGCCACTGGGTCTGAGCCCTTCTTGCTTGGATCTTCTAAGCCGACTGCTGAGCCCCGACAGAGACTCTGCACAGGGGGGAAGCTTGCTTGGAGGGGTGGACTAGCCGGGCTCAGGGTGCCACTTTCTGTCCTTTGGTGTTGGGCTCCCATTTTGTCAGGGGACCCTAGAATGAGACCAGCACCTCAGAAAGTGCATGTGTGTGCATATGGGTGGGGACATGCACCGAGACCAGGTCAGAGGAAGGGTGGCCATGGGAGAAAGGGGAGGTGGATGCTGGAAAAATGGGGCATTTACTCAAAAGTCGTCTGTGGCCTTCAGGGCATCAGACAAAGCCAGGCTCAGGGACCCAGGGCAAAGTGTCCTCCCTTTGCCCTCTTTTGCTGCTTGCCACCCCTGGTCCCAGCTGTCTAAATTCGAAGCCATCACCCAGGGAAGGCCTATTGCTGGCCTACTGCCACCCGAGAACAGAAGAGGAATGGGACGTAGGCTCGCCAGCTCTGAGCTGGAAGGGCAGGAAACCGCCGTGGCAGCCTTGGGCAAGCCCGCCTTTCTAGGCAGCCCTTCTGGTCATTAACTGTGCCTTAGCTTTCGCAACTTCCACTCATCGGTCCTGATTCCGCCTTCTCCATTTTCTACGTGACAGACCCTTGCGTTATTCAGGCCAAATGTTGTGGTCCTACAGGCCTGTTCTTTTTAGGGCCCAATACCCCAGGTCCTTCAACTGTTCCTTGGGCTGAATGACCCTCTTGGACAGCCACGGTTGTCTGTGCCACAGCACGACACCAGGCCCCCAGGCCGGGAAGAAGGGCCCCCAGGAAGGAGGTGCAGAGATGTGCACTGTGACTGGGGTTTCTGCTCGGAAACACACCGAGCACAGAGGAGAGCAGAAGGGGGCAGGTAGACGGGTCGGGGGGGTGTGCTGTGACAACGCTTGCAGAGACCTCATACTTCCGCTTGCATGGCAATCTCGAAGGAGAAATAGCACCACGAGAATCCACACGGGGAGCTCGGTGGAAGGGTTCTGAGAATCGGGCCTCAGAGCTTTCCTTGTGCTGGGAAAGCGCTCTGGGCAGCCGTGCACCTCCAGAGTCTGACGTTCAGGAGGGAGAGCGGCTGTCCGGGGAAAGGGGTCTCCCCGCAGTGCGTCTCAGTGTCTCAGTGCCGCCACACAGCTCTGCGTTCCCTCTCCCCACCGCCAGGTCTACTCTCCGGAGGGAAAGGGGAAATCCGGGCTGCATACTCTTGGCTAGCTGGACCTGGAACGGGAGCTGGGGTGTGGGGGCCTCCCGGGGAAAGGACACCGTGGAAGGCACACAGAAACTGCTCTGCTCAGTTTGCATCTAGATGTGGCCGAGCTGTTGCGTACACTGAAGGGCTGGCCATGACATGGGAGTCTCATTGGCTGGCAGTGGCATGTGGTCAGGCGTGGATGTCGGCTTGCTGCGGCCATGGTGACCTCCTCGGGAGGGGAGTCCCAGGCTAGTCTCCCAGGAAGAAGACGCGAAGGCTGAACCGCAGATTCGGAACCTTAACCCTTCTGTTCAGGGTAAGGGTGAAATCTACCCCCTTTCCCGGAGGTCTCAGAGCTCACAGCCTGAATCTCGGGTGAACTGGCTTGGCAGTGTATTCGTGTGGAGGCTCAGAATTACACCGGAAAAACTGAGGAATACTCTCTCTCATCCCAAGGTTGCTCAGAGGTAGGCTCTACCAGTTTTGAGGGCAGCAATGTTGTAGCAGGTCCCTAAGCACAGCTGAGCTGGGCCAGCAGTGGGCAGGGCTGGGCCTGCTGCCCGGAGTCCAGGGCCGGGGCCTGGGGGCTCCCACTCCTCTCAGTGCCAGCTGTCCCCTACTGTACTTCACTCCCCAGCACAATGTCCCTCCCCATGCCTTGGGCACGGGGCACGGTGACAGAGGCGTCTGCAGCTGAGGTGGTCTGCAGCTGTCTGCTGAAAGCCCTCAGCTGGGAGCCTGGCTCTAGCTCTTGCATTAGGCCCACGATCTCTGTTACGTGGCCCCGACCCCAGCTCAGGCCTGATGTCTGCCGCAAGTACCGAGGGGGGTGCTGGCGGTGGGTGTCCACAGAGAGTAGCAAAGCCATTCTCTCACACCCCAGAGGACTCCCTCCTTTCTGAGGGTGCACGGCACTTCCCTGGGGCAGGAGGAGGGAAGGAGAGCTCAGCACAGGGCCCAGTCATCAGTCAGCCCGAGCTGGCGCGTGCAGACACGTGTCAGGGCGCCGTGGACAGCTGTGGTGTCAAATCAGGGACATGATGGCATCAATGTTGGCACAGCCAGCTGCGTGTCCTTTCTAGGCCACGGACGCTTAGTGGTGGCCGGAGGGAGGGACTGTGGTGAGGTCTGAGCCCGGGCAAAGCACACAGCACAAAGTGAGGGGCCCTTATTCTCCCCATTTCAGGCTTGGGAGTGAAAAAGAACGAAAGAAACAGGAGGAAAGACAGGCAGACAGAGCAGAGACGGACAGGACGGAGCAGAGGTGTCGCCCAGGGCACATTACCTTAAGGATAATTTCTAAGGTAAAGATACCAGTGAAGACATAGTCCGCATTGCCTAGGATCTGAAAAGTAAGCACAGCTGGATTAGTGGCTCTGCGAGTGAAGCCGACACCAACGGGGGCGCGTGTGTTAGCAGCGGCAGGCGGCAGAGAGCTGGTGCTGGCACGAGGGAGGAAGAGCGGAGAGGGATGGAGGGGGCTTTACCTTCAGAGCGATTTCAATGGTGAAAATGGTGGTAAAAACAATATCAAAATAAAACAGAATCTGCAAGACAAAAAGGACCAGGGCAGGAACAGGGTGGGGGAGAAGCAGGATGGGGGTCAGTGGATGTCCAAACGAACACGGATGGAGACGGGGCTGGGGCGAGCGGCACGCACGGCAATGCAGCCCGGAGCGGGCCGGCCTCAGCAGCCCAGTGGCTGCCCACCAAGTCCCCGGATGAGTGAGGGGGCTTCCAGGGTAGGCCCCAGCTGGTACTGGGTCTGGGCGGCGTCGGGTTGGATGCTTATCTCATGAATCCAATTTACTTACAAACCCAAACCAGCCCACTGGGATGCTTGTCTTTTTGCAGGCAGATTTGAAATGCGTGGGTGTGACTGAGCCGGCCAGCTGCCGATCTCTACTGGGCATGGGAGGAGCATCCTCCAGGTGAGGGCTGCCCAGGCTGAGGACCAGCCCCAGAGTTTCCTGTCTTATTATATCTCAGGTGATGGACCAGGGATGGGGCCGACATCTGCTGGCCTCAGTGAGGCAGCCCAGGACCGAGCAGGCTCCTGGACCACCCACAGGTTTGGCATGGCATGGCTTTAGATCAGTGGGCTCCTCTGTTCACGCCCACTTGGTCAGGATCTGACAAAGTTTTGAGGTTTTAAGATACAGCAATTCTTAAGCTAGCCTTTAACGCTGTTCGCCAGAGCCTGGGGTGGGTCTCCCTCTTTGGCTCTGCTCTACAGAAAGCACCAAGGCTCTCACTTTTATGTGAGGTCAGCCTTGTGATGGGCACCTACCTGCCCATGCTCCCCTCGTGGCAGAGCACACGGGAGCAGGGCGGGAAGCCAGTGGCTGTGCCTCCAAGTCTGCGGGGAACTAGAGCCCCTGGGCATCATCCACAGGGCACCGAGAGTCCTGACCATCACCAATTACCGAGCCAGCCTGGGGCATCTGGGCACAGCTCTCTTACTTGCTTGTGGTCCTAAGATGGGTTTCTGTCAAGTCCTAGTCCCTTAAAGAAATGTTTCTGGTGCATCTCAGGATGAGATGGGACTTGGGCTACTGAGCAGCGACATCACCACAGAAGCTGCGGGCGCAGGAGGAAGGGGCGCGGGGGCAACGGGCCATGCCTACGTGGTTCCTGAAGGAGCTGTGCTGCACGGGGTCCTCGGCGGCCAGGGAGATGCTGCTGAGCAGGATGAAGAAGAGGATCAGGTTGGTGAATATGGTGTCGTTGACGATGCGGTGGCACTGGAGGCGAAACCTGCACGGGCAGGAGGAGGAGAGACACGTCAGGGGAGACAAGGGGAGGCAGACGCCGGCTCCTCCCGCCTGCTTGCGAAAGCTGCCTGAGGGTTTGGGGAGTGGCCCTTGAGCCTGACGTCTCACTGCCGCCAGGTCACTGTCATTACCGCTCGCCAACCCATCCGACGCACGTCTCTGCGGAACTCGGTCTAGAGCGTTCTCACACCAGTGACCTTGGACATTCTGGAAGGTCATGTCCGAGGCCATTGGGAATCTCTGAATTTCCAAATACTGCTGTGACATTAACAACTGGCTTTTGTTTGGGGACTTGTTTTCCCTATCGTTGAAAAAACTCACTTTATGAAATCCACTTCCTGTTTCTCTGCGTGGGGAACAACGTTGCTACCTGGAGATGGGTCTGCTGAGAGGCCAGCTAAGCGACTGTGTGTCTAGGTGGTCGCTCCTGTGTGACAGCTGAAGTGTGCAATTCAATCCCCACCTCAGCACAGGCGAGAGAACTATTCATTTGGGCCTCAGGGTGCCCATGGATAGCAGCACAAGTGTTAGATCCTCGCATGCCAAGGTATCCTGTACACCCTCTCTTCCCGACAGCAATATAAGAAGGAAAGTATGGTTGCTATTATCATCCGCATTTCACAGATGAAACACCGAAACCCAGGAAGGAGAGGCTTGCCCAGGAACGCAGCCTGTGGTGTGGGCCATTAGGGCTGGAACCCAGGCCTCCAGACTCCTCTCCTGGCATTATGGTGGATTAAATGCTCTGAGAGGTCCTCCTGCTGCAGAAGCACCGAGTCTTGGAAAGGACACTCTCTGAGAAAAGTCTGGTTTCATGAGAATTAGAAGAGGGCTGTAAGGATCATCCCCTTCAAACCAACCAGCCCACCCATGAGCGAGGTCTGTGTGCGGGTGGCTGGGAGGCAGAACCGCCTGAGGACAGACGCTAACAACAGCAGTGCTGTCTGGAGACTGCATTTCAAGCCGGGGGTGGGGGTGGGGTGGGGGCGGGCAGGGAAGCCTGGGACGTGCAGGCTTAGCTGACCCCATGAGAGGCATCTGGAGGAGCCTCCCAATCCCACTTTGAGTCAGAAGGACTCTCACCAAGATGGAGCATTAAGGTCAAGATCAAAAATCATCAAACACACAAGAGGGTAAGGTGAGAATCAGAGGAAACACCAAATAAGTGATTGAGACCTCCAAAGATGGTGCATGTTCAAAACATTAGATACAGAATAGAAAAAATTCAAAACTGTATTTGAAATAGTTGATAAAATAAAGGACTCGCTCAGGAACATGATGAATCAGCACCAACTATTGGATATAGACAGATGGATCTGAAAAATCAAGCAACGAACGGAACTGACTGAAACGAAAACAACATAATGATCAAGATAAAAACGATGGCTTGCACAGTAATAAAGTTGAAAAGAGAAATAGGAAACTAGAAGGCAGATCTGAAGAAATCACCAGGAGGGCGGAAAGAGAGACAAGACGAAAGACGTGTGCGCCACGCGCAGAGACAGCAAGGATGGGGGGAGGGGGTCTGGCTGCACATCATGTTGGAAGGAACAGAGAGTTACGGAGAGGCAACACTTTCAGATTAAGGCTGCCAATTTTCACGAACGGACGAAAAATATAAATCCACAGATCTAGGAAGCATAACGTATTCTAAGCAAAATAAATGGAAAGAAATCCACGCCTCAGCACGTGGTAGTAAATCTGCCCAACGCCGAAGGCGACAGAAGTTAAAAGCAGCTACAGATAAGGGTTAGTTCCTCACGGAGGGACAAGAGTTGGGACGACAGCTGACCCCACAGTGAAAGAACATCCTCCGTGTGCTGAGGGACAAATACTGTCAATCCAAAATCGTGTACACGGCAAAACTGTCTTTCAAGAACAAGAAATGAAAACAATTACGGACACTTATCTGTAGAGGCCAAGTGAATTTACCGTAAAGGAACAAGAGGAACTTCTAAAAAATGTATTTTAGGAAGAAAGAAAATGTTTGCAGAAGGATAGGCCAAGCTACATAAAAACATGGTGAATAAATAAAATGGTAAGTTGTATGTAAATCCAAATGCACGCTATCTATATATGTCACGATGATGATAATAATAATAAAAATACTAACTCGGGTTAAAAATAAAGGTTAGGACTAAAATGCTAATCGACAGTATCATGTAAATCAGGAGGAAATGGGTCAGTTAACGTAGTCTAAGGTCCTTCTATCGCATAGGAGGAGCTTTACAATATTGTTTACATTTTCTTAAGCTAATAGACTTAGTAATTTATCAAGGTTCATCACCAAAAGCATAGAAATAGAGTTTACACATTTCAAGAAGTGAAGAGAAAAATAAACACAGATCGTCTTTTTTTTTTTTTTTTTTGAGACAGAGTCTCACTGTGTTGCCCGGGCTAGAGTGCTGTGGCGTCAGCCTAGCTCACAGCAACCTCAAACTCCTGGGCTCAAGCGATCGATCCTCCTGCCTCAGCCTCCCGAGTAGCTGGGACTACAGGCATGCGCCACCATGCCCGGCTAATTTTTTCTATGTATTTTTTGTTGTCCAATTAATTTCTTTCTATTTTTAGTAGAGACGGGGTCTCGCTCTTGCTCAGGCTGGTCTTGAACTCCTGAGCTCAAACAATCCACCCACCTCGGCCTCCCAGAGTGCTAGGATTACAGGCGTGAGCCACCGCGCCCGGCCAACACAGATCTTCTGATTCAGAATCCAGGATTCTCTGCCCTAAATCAGCGTCTGTTCACATAAGTTGTGGGGAGCTGGGAGAGTCCCAGGCTCCATCCTGGGGTTCGGGTAGAATGCAGGCACTTGCTGGGCTTGTATCATGGAGAGAACAGAGCCCACTGCCCCCATTGTTCCCACTGTCCCCACCAACCTGTTGCTGGGGCTGAAGATGAAGAAGGCGCTGGCTTCTGGCATGGGCACCGCCTTCTCCTTGAGGTGCAGCTCAGACAGGGGTCTTGGGCGGGGGCCGACAGGCATCTCCGGCTCCTCCTCATCCTCTTCTGTAAGAAGAACAGCACGGTTCTAAACAGCTCCACCACGCCCACCTATTCTCACCACTGTGCCACCTATTTCCAGCGACATTCCCCCCAGCAGAAACCAAGGCATCATTGTTTCTGAACATGTAGGGCACCAACCACGACAGACCTGCTCTGCCCCTGTGGGTGCCGCGGGAGCCCACATCCACTAGAGAAAGACTCAGCTGGCAGTACATAGCAAGCTGGGTTTTAAGTAAGGTGACCAACTGGTCCCACTTGGCCCAGGACGGTCCTGGTTTTAAAACTGAAATTCCCACATCCCGGGAACCCTCCAGTCCTGGGCAGACTGGGCTGGTTGGTCATCCTAGTTGTAGGGACTAGAAGAGGTGACCAGGTAAGACCAGGGCATTGCCAGGTGTTACTCGTCTATCGGAGCTGCAGGTGGGGGAAAGGGTGTGCCTTAGTCGGCTTGTGGAATCCGTTGCAAATAACCCCATCCTTGCAAGTGCCGGGAATTTAAAACTAATACATCCCCCATTTCTGAAACTACAAAAAAGTCATGTGCTGTGGAGATGACAGGACAACACTGCGGACAACAGGCCCCTCGTTCAAAGGTTTGGACACTGACACCAACCAAAGAAGCCCCTGTGTCTCCCAGACAGCGGCCACCACTCAGACAGCTTATTCCTGTTCTTGCGAACACAGCGCCCGTGGGAGGAGCCACTCCTATCCTGCTCTGGCCAAATGTGTTTAAAAACGTTCAGAAGAGGAAAGGCGACGGACGGCACAGAAGTCACGAGCACAGACTCTCCAGCCAGATGCCTCCCTCCACGTCTTAGCTCTGGTTCTTTCCGGCTGTGGGCATTTTATTAGTCTCTCCGTGCCTCAGTTTCTCCATCTAAGGTGGAGCAATAATGGTAATAATACAAACAAACCTCAGAAGGCTGCCTGTCACACTGCAACCGCTACATAGGTGCTAGCGGCTTTTATTACTATCTGCACCCGCGGAGAGACGAAGCCTGTGAGTTGGCGCTCGACATCTTTCTCAGCCTCATCCTCGCCTGCTACCGCTGCCACGCCAGCCGTCCGCTCGCACCGGACTCTGTGATCACTCACTGCGCCGGGCTGAACAGCGTCCCCCCAAATTCGCGCCCACCTGCCACTTCAGGATGTGGCCTTATTTGGAAACAGGGTCTTTGCAGATGTACTCAGTTATAATGAAGTCACGCTGGCCCCAAATCTAATGACTGTTGTCCTTGTAAGGAGAGACTAAGAGTCACCGAGCACATGCAGGGAAGAAGATACATGGAGACAGAGGCAGAGACTGGTGCAATGCAGCAACCACAGCAGTTGTGAGGCCAGTGAGGATTCCTCCCTAGAGCCTTCCAGAAGGAGTAGGCCCTGTGGACACCTTGATTTCGGACTTCTGGCCTCCAGAACTGTGGGAGCACACATTTCTATTGTTTTAAGCCGCAGCACGTGGTCGTCTGTGAGGGCCCCAGGAAGCTAACCTCGCGCTCCCCCCTGCTTGGACTGCCCTTCCCTCCCTCTCTGCAGAGCTCACAAGGACCCCTCTCCAGCGGCCCCCTCCACCCGGCTTCCCTGAGTCCCTGGGCTCCAGGGAATGACCTTCCCGTGAGTTCCAGCAGCACCCTTGGCCTCCAGTGCCATGGATGCCTGATCCTGGGTGCATCTGTCCCCCTCCACGTGCTCAGACCCAGGAGGGAGAAACCATGCCTGGCGCATAGGAGCCCTTATATCTTGGTGATGATTAAACTTCCACATCCTTCATGAGGAAGGGGATTTTGCAAAAGGTGAAGGTCAGGTGGAGACGAATCTGGCTGGAGCAACACAGTTGCAGGAAGCTCATCTTACGGCCCCGGCCGTGCTTCTCTGCGCTCTCTCCCCTGGTTAAAAGGAAGCCGGCTGGTGCAGGGAAGGGTGTCTAGCACGGGAAGTGTCTCCTTACCAAACAAGAGGCGTTTAGGGACCCAAGGCTCCTAAACCAGCAGAATGTGGCATCCATCAGAGCCTTTCCCAGGGCAGCTGGGGCTGACCAGCAAGGCCACGTCTCAGCAGAAGGGAGGCACGAGGTGGAAGACTGTGTACAGGCCACAAGTTGGAGGGTTTTTGACATCCAACCATTGGTATGTAAAAGAAAAGTTTTCTACTTAAAGTAGAATAAGTAAAACCAGGTTGGCCTAAGTCATGATATTTATAAGTGAAATTGAATTGAGAAGGATCTCAAATTTCTACCTAGGTGTTTGTATTCTTCTCAGTTTTCTCTAAATGACCCAACACTTTCTTATTACGATAGTTTGATAGCAGGTAATTTTGTGCTTATTGTAATCACTTATGTGTGCAGAACACCGTATTTCTAGCTCGGTGTGTTCTGAGCTCCTGAAGAGAAACACGCCCGTTCTTTGCCCCGCCCTCGCCGCCCCCATTCGGGAAGTTCTGCCTCATTTCGGTCCCGCAGGAGCGAGATGGCCAGCCGCTCAGACACACCGGCTGCATCTGAGGCGTAACGCTTAGGAAGAGACTCTTGCCGAAGGACAACTCGAATTTGTAAAGCAGCAGGAGCTCGTCGGCGTGCGAGGCTTAGCGTGTATTACGGATGAGCAGGGCTGACGGGTCAGGGAAGGCGGGGTAAACTCACGGGGGCTGGTAGCGAAACCGCCTGGACTCCTGCTCCCAGGGCCGGTCCGTCCTAGGGAGCTTTGTCTCCTCCTGTCCGTTCCCGGAGGCTGGGAGGGAAGGGAGGGCGGCCGCACCGCGGGCAGGGCAGGGCGGAGGACTCGCGAGCAAAGCCGCTGCAGAGCCGGCGCCCCCACTGGGTGCTTGGCGACCCTTGCCCCTCCCACATGATGCCCCTCCCACTGCTGTGATTTTGCTCATGGCCAGTTAAAATAAAAACGTTATTTGTAAACATCTAGTATCTACAGAGCCCTGAGCTTGAGGTTGGGAACACAAAGCCGTGACTCTTGTCCTTAGAGAGCTCAGGGTTTCTAGCGATGTGCGCGAGTCCACCAGCAGCTGAGGGGGAGGCATGCTGGGTAGGGCCAGCTGGGTAGGGCCCCCCAGGGCCCTGCTGCGGGGAGCAGGGAGCAGGCTGGGCATGCAGTCTCTGCACTGGGGGTCTCTTCTCACTGGCTCAGGGTCACCTTGAATCCCTTTCTCCCCCAGCATCCACGCTGCTAATAAATCCCGCCGGCCCTACCTGCAGAGTGAACCCCAAGCCCGACCACTTCTCTGCAGCTCCACACCATGCCCCTGGCCCAGCTGCCGTCGTCTCTGCCTGGACACCGCACAGGTCTCTCCGCCACCCCAGCTCTGCTCCCGACCACCCACCGCCCTCTGCTCACACGGCAGCCAAACCGAGTCTTTGGAAGGGTAAGTCAGACTCAGATGGCGGCTCTCCACACGTTGGACCAGACCCAGCCTGTGGCGTGGCCTCCAAGGCCCTGTCCCTTCGACCCTGCCCGGCCCCAGCACCGTCCCTTGGTTCCCTCTGCTGCATGCACAGCAGCCCTCTCGGGTCCCGCGCGGCCCAGCGCGTCCCCTCGGAGAGCCTGCACTTAGCTCTGCCACCCGAGAGCTCCTCGCTCTGACGCCAGTTCCTCTGAATCCCTCGGCGTCAGCCCAGTGTTGTGTCCTCAGAGAGCCGGGACCGAGTGCGCAGTCAGGACAGCCCTGCCCACCAGCACCTCCCCAACACACCCCCTGGCTGCTCCCACCTGTCTCCCCACGGCCATGCCGGCTCCAGGAGGGCAGAGGCTTCTCCATCTGCCGACGGCTGTGTCCCTGGGGCCTGGCGCAGTGCCCGGCACAAGAGGTGCTTAACGAGTAGTCAATGAACATCTCCAAGGTCGCTCCCAGCGCTCAGTGTCTATGGCGGTCGTACAGTCCTGCTATAGCTGCTTCCGCCTCTTAACTCCCCGATTCAAAGCCCAGTCAAGACCACCCTCCTCCACGAAGCCTCCCCAGCCTCCACCACACCTCTTGGCTCCCCTTGTCCTTGACCCCGGCAGCCATCAGAGCCTCCCCCAGAAGGGTTGGTGCTGTCCCACTCATTGTCTGGTGTCACTTTTTTTTACGAACATCCGTATGCTCACGCAAATACATTAATAAGCTAAATAAAAGCAGAATTAGCTTCCACTTCTCTGGCACCATTCGTTTCTTCCTGGTGAGCTGAGGTCCTCTCTGCTACGACGGTGTCCCAGCCTGGGAGGCTAAGCCGGCTGGTGAGCTTCCGAGATTAAGCAGACAGGGAAGGACTCCAGGGCTGGCGCTGGCTTCCTGGCCCCTTTGTGCGAATCAGAAACAGGCTCCTCCTCTGGGTGTCCACGGTCACGCCAGGGCCAGCAGAGTGCAGGCCGGAGTCCACTCCGCCACACACCTTTGGGAGCGGGCAGAGGGCAGAGGGCGAGCCCAGGAGAGGCCGACCGTGCGCCCCCTGGCGTCAGCCCTCTTCTCTCTAGGGTCTGGCCGGGGCAGAGCAGGAGGGAGGCTCGCCAGTGCCGCCCGGCAAGCGGCATCGTGTGAACTGGGCGCCGCAGCCCAGCTGCCCAGAAGGGACGGGTCGGGAGGACAACGGCAGATCAGGCTCTCTGCCTTTCTCGGTTCAGAAGGAAGAGAAGCAGCTGGGAGTGAGAGATCGGCCGGGTGGAGACAACAGCCACGTGCCCTTTGGAGGAGTCTTTGGGAACTGATGCTCCTTGCTCTGACGCCAGTCTTGTTCCTCTGAATCCCTCAGCTTTCAGCCCAAATGTTGTGTCCTCAGAGAGCCTGGACCGAGCGCACAGCAGACAATGAGTGGGACAGCACCAACCCTTCTGGGGGAGGCTCTGATGGTTGCCGGGGTCGAGGACAAGGGGAGCCAAGAGGTGTGGTGGAGGCTGGGGAGGCTTCATGGAGGAGGGTGGTTTTGACTGGGCTTTGAATTGGGGTGTTGAAGAGGCGAAGCAGTTATTTCAGGGGCAGGCAGGGGAGGGAGGAGTGGGCAGGGCAGGGAGAGCTGGGAGGCACAGGCTGACTTAGCCTCTGGGGCTGGGGGACGTATGGAGCCACCAGCCTTAAGAGCGCTGTCCTGGGGCCTCCTGGGTGAGAAAATGGAAACTGGGAATGGTGAGCGAATGGGACCACAGGGGCTGGCTACACAGGCCTGAGTGCGGGGTGGCCTGAGTGCGGGGTGGCAAGGGCAGGACAGCCTCAATTAGCCACAGATCAGAGGACTCAACGCAAAGGTAAAAAGACGTACAGGACCACGGGAAACAAAGGCTGGGTCTGGAGGAGGCTGGAGAATCCAGGAAGGGACATATGCTGAAAAATCTGCGGAATCGCGAGGACCCCGCGGAGCGTGGGAAGAGCTTTTCAGGTGGAAAGATCGGCATCCCAGGGCTCCTCAGAGCCACCGGTCAGCTACATGCTGGGCCAACAGGGAGGCACTAGGATGGCTGACATGGTGACAATATCCTCATTAGTTCTTTTTTTTCCTTGGCATTCTCTTCTTTGATTTCATTAGTTCAACAAAGTAGAGAAAAGCCAGGAGTGTAACACTGAGAATAACAGATGCAAGAGGCGTGTCTGCCCCATGGCCACGCCGAACAAACAGGTATGAGCTTGACTGTAGCCGGGTGCCTGTGTGGAAAGACCCTCAAATCCAGATCTCTCCTGCTGTGTACGGGGAGGAGGCGTCCTAGGGACCGGCCTGCATGGGACAGACTTTCTGCAGGGCCCAGAGGGATTTGTTTCATTAAACTTAAAATGTATACAGAGTAGAGAGATTCCTACAGTGAACCTCCATTTACCCAGCTTTGACAACTTTTCTTTTGGAGACAGGGTCTCACTCTGTTGCCCTGGCTCGAGTGATCCTCCTGCCTCAGCCTCCTGAGTAGCTGAAACTGCAGGCACGGCCAGCACACCCAGCTAATCTTTCTATTTTTAGAAGAGACAGTCTTGCTCTTGCTCAGGCTGGTCTCGAACTCCTGGCTTCAAGTATCCTCCCCACTCGGCCCCCCGGAGTGCTGGGATTAGAGGTGTGAGCCACTGTGCCCTGCGGTTGACAACGTTTGACATTTTGCTGATCTTGTTTCATTTATCTTCTCTGCTCCCATTTTTTTTGTTGTTGGAGTATTTCAAAAGCAACTTTTAAACATTTTAGACTCCATCCATAAACACTTCAGCTTCCAAAAACAGAACTACAAAAATATTATTATACCAATAAGATTAACACAAATTACTTAAAATCATTTAGTTCCCAGTTCATATTCAATTTTCCTCAATTACCTTGAAAATGCCATTTTAAAGTTTATTGTTCGCTGAGGATCAAGACAACATCCTCCCATTGCATTTGGGCAATATTTCTAGGAAGTCTTAGAAATTCTGTAAGTTTCCCCCAAGAAGGGTTTTTAAGACTTCAAAAGGCTTAAAGCCCCTCACACGGAAACACCCTTCCTGCCCTTTCCATCCACACCCCGGGAAACCACATCCTATTTCCCTCGCAGGAGGAGGGGGGTGAGGATGAGGATGGTGTGACCACAGGGAACCTGCTTCCCAAGGACCACAGAAGATGCCCACTAGTGTCCTTGCAAATCGAGTGGAGAATCAGTGGAGGGAAAGCAAACTGGAAAGCCTTGCTTTGCTCATGAGTGTAGAAGGTTCTCAGCCACCTAACTTGGTTACCAATCCAAATATAGCCTAACCTACACAGAGAGGGGCACGCCGGTAAAATCAGCAGTCCCTGATGGCAGGTTACTGACTTCTAGCTCGAAGCTGGTGATGGTATCTGCAATTCTAGGTCAGAGAAGGCAGGCCCAGGGCGGTGCAGGGCATGGGATTTCAGGAAGCAAGGGAAGTGAGTTCTGGAGGGAGGACCTTTGACATTAGAATGCTCTAAAAGGAGACTGCCTGCCAATTTACGTATTGGACAAGACGGAGTCCGTAAGAGCACTTTCTATAATAAGAGGCCTGAAAGCATTTTCCAAAGCAACAAGTGGGACATCTGCGTTGGCAGCTGTGCCTGCACTGGGTACTGCCTCCTGAGCAGGGGCCAGGCAGGCTTGGGCTTTGCTATTATTGCTAAGCGAGCATAATGCTGCAACATATGCTGAACTAATACATTATACCAGTTAATAGCGATTTCACAAGTAATATAATAAAACCTTGAATGTATACAGGACCCAGCTTGCAAAGGACATGAAGGCACTGCTCAAACGTGATCTTGCTATGAGGAAACCAGACGCAAAGCTGTCACCCAGATAACTGGTAATGCTAAAATGTAGAGGCGGCAGACATTTCCCAGTGTCAAGGGACACTGGAGCCACCTGTCCCTAATATATGCGACTCCCATATGGCTTTAGAATCCAGATCTCCACCCCCGGCTCCCAATCTCAGAGTCAGGCAGTGGGGCTGGTACCTGCAGTTTCTGGGTTGGGGTAGGGGCTCTTATCCTCATTTTCACTGGGCTGGAGGTCGTCCATGTTGATCTGCGCGGCCGAGAGGGGAAGGAGGAAGAATCCAGTTAGGCATGTTCCACGGTTTGAGAGGCCTGGAGAAGCCTTTACATCGCATTAGAGCCAGGGGCTGAGCTCAAGAATGTGCCCTTGTCACTTTGCACATCCCCTTCCAGACATCAGCAGAAGCCTGAGATGGCACCGGTCTGCCCTCTCTGCACCCCCCGCCCCCCCCTCCGGTCCCCTCCCAGGGGCTTCTCCCACTGGGTGTCTTTCCTTCTCTCCCCCTCTCCCCGGCGGCTGGCCTGGGAAGGCTGTGACCTCCCTCCCTCTGCACTGGCCCCCCAGCCCTTGCCTTGGTGGTGGGCGGAGACTCTCCATCAGCCGTAATCGATTTCAGCTCAATCTTCTCCTCCTTGGCTTCCTCCACCGCCGGCTGCTCCACCACCTCTGGTTTCTTCTCTGGGCTGGCAGTCCTGGCCGGTCAGCAGGAGGAAAACAGAAACGAAGTGTTGACTGGAGTCGCGGGGACCAGTGCAGAAGGACACTGCCCTGTGGTCTGCTGGGGGCCCGTGGGGGCAGATTCCCTGGGACTGTGTCCCTCTTCCCCAGGGCGCTGCGTGTGCAGCCGCCACAGGTGCTAGGGCTGCACAACACCTGCCCTGTCCGCGCTCCATCAGCCTCTTCCAGCTTCTCAGCCACCCGCCCCTACGTCAGAGGAGGGTGCTGGGTCTCATCGAGGACTGGCTCCTAGGGGAACCCTGCTGGGTACCCGGCAGACGCACGGCCTGGGACTGGCCTGTCTAGACAATGATGGGTACGGTGCAGGGCCTGGTCTGGCCTTCTCAGCACCGAGACGAACTGCATCAGCGAGAAGGCGACACTGCGAGCTGGGCTGTGGCTCCCCTCCGAGCGGCTGCCCTCCTCCTCCCCCACCCTGTTCTCCCACCACCCATGATGGCTTCTCTTCTCAAAAGAGAACCCCTCAACTTCCTACACAGCGGGGAGCACACCCGCACTGCAGAGACTGCCACTCACAGTGGTCCCGAGGCAGCAATGCCTAGGGATCAGGAGAGAGGCCCGACCTTGCGGGGGACCTGCGGGGGCTGGTGCCCGCGCCTCTCTTTACTGCCACTGGAAGCGACAGTCCAGAGCGGGGACCCTGGGGCCCTGGACGGGGCAAGCTTAGCGGGTTACCTGGCCAGCTTCTTCCTCTCTTTCTCTTCTTCCTCTTCCTTTTGGGCAGATGTGAGGCTCTCAGCATCAGCCAGGTTGTCCACAGCAATGGCCAAGAACACATTTAGTAGGATATCTGTTTGTGTCCATTTTTAAAGAAAATGACCCTTGGCCTTGGGGTTTTGGTGGGCACAGGCGCAGGGAGGGTGTGGGACAGGTAGGTGGAGCTCCCCAGCAGAGGCAGCTCGGGGGTGGCCACCTGGAGGGGCCCAGGGTGTCCCTTGCTTCTGTGTCACCCTGCTAGCCACCTGGAGCTCTCTGAAGGGTCGAGACAGGCCGGCTGGTGGCTGGAGCGGGTGGGTCCAGGCGGCAAGCTCTGCCCCGCTCTCTAACTGCTGAGTTTGATTAGCGGTGTCCCGCTGAGACGACTGGCTGTAACCGACATCGTAAACAGCCCTGTCTCTAGCAGGATGCAGAGCGCTCTTCAGAGCGGTTCATCGTCACCGGGCGCTGAGGCGGTGGCCTACTGTCTCTGCCAGCTCCTGCTGGGAACCGCACGTGCAAGACCCGGGGAGGGTCTGGCTAAGCCAGCAGAGCTTGGGGAACCCCGAACGAAACCAGCCGTTGCCCGCCTCCCCCCCCCCCGCCCCCCCCCCCCCCAAAAAAAAAAGCCGGGGAAAAAAACGCCGCCCGAAAAAAAACAAAAGGGGCCTCAAAGTTGGCAAACCCGCCCCAACCCCCGCAACCAAAAAATCCCACCATTCCACACAGAGGAGCAGAGGCCCGGGCAGGTGAGCAGCGCTTCTCCAGGGACGCTTCTGGGCACCCCCCGGACGTCGAGCTGTGCAAGGGGCTTTGTGCACGTTATCCCATTAAAACTCCCAATGACCCCTTAAGTAGCAGGTAGCATTATTGCATTGCTGCATGCTCCAGACACTCAGAGACCCTCCAACGTGCGGGAGGTCGCCTAGCTGGTAAAATGTGAAGCCTAGTCTGCAGGCGCCAATGAAGGCGTTTTCTGCACTACCTTAAGGTGGGACCTGAGCCCGAGTCTTGGCCCAGAGCTCTTCCTGTGTCTCCACCGGCTCTGCGTGTAGCTCTCATGGGGCTGTGAGCAGGGGAAACGGAGAAGCACCCATGGCTTGTGACCCCAGAAACCCGCCCGTGGCCTGGGTCGGGAAGGGTCTGTCCAGCCCTGCCTGTGACTAGAGTCCTGCGGGGCAGCGTCAGAGAGAGGGGTGCAGACCAAAAAGCGGGGAGGAGAGTCGAAGATCATTTGGAGGCTGACGCTCGCGCTCCTCCTCTGAGCATCCTACCTCTAAGCAGAGGCAGCGGCCTGGGGAGCCCGCCCAGGTGCGTCCCGCTGTAGTATACGTGAATGGCTGCGCAAGCCACGACGCCAGGGGGCGTCCCTCACCTAGATTGCAACAAGAACACGCCTCCAGGAGTCCTGCTCCGTTGCAGCCCTGAACGGTTCTGGAAGGTGGACCTCACCCACGCCAGAGCTGGCGGCTTCCACCCAGACCTGCCTCCACCGCCAGTGTTCTAGGCTGGGCCCTGCTCCTCCCCGGCAGCCTTGCCTGGGCTTGCGGGGGCGGGGGCTGTGGCAGGCAGCCGGGCAGCCCCAGCAGGACCCCGGGGCACACACAGGGCACTGTGCTGCAGGCGGGGGCGGGGCAGCGGGGGTGGGGAGGCAGCTGCAAAGGATACAATTTCCACAGATGAAGAGGATGATGAAGTAAATACAGACTAACATCCCTGGAAAAGAGGGGCCGCCATAAGCCATGATCCCATCATACATCACCGAATTCCAGTCCTCCCCGGTCAGGATCTGAATGACACATTCCCACCAATAAGGGACACAGCGTTAGACCAACAGCAAACCCCAAAACCACCCTGCCCTGCCCACTATGTTCACAAAAATGTCCAAAATCTCTTTTGCATCTTTCCCTCCTCCTGGCCCCCAATTCTCCTTCCCAGGGGCTCTGAGCTAGTGACCTGGGCGAGTTTGAGCCCGTCCATGGACAAAAATGCATGGCCATTGGCATGGTATTGTTTGGGGGGTGACCGAAGGGCCTGCTGTCTCCCATGTGTGTGAGCGACTGCAGTGAGCCCGTCCTCAGGGACGGGGAGGCATTGGAGCCCCTTCACAGCTGCGAATGTGCCCGCAGGGACAGCGACACGTATGCAACACCCGTGTTCTGCAAACTTTAGTCGCTGGGCACCATCTTGAAGATTTTGGCAACATGCTCATATTCATTTTTATCTATAAATCAATCTCCTTATCTACTTTTAAACTTAAAGACATGCTACTTTAACTTCGCCCTAAGTCAAAATATCTGTGAAATCACAAATTTGATGGGCTAGTTACATTTTCTCCAGGGGCAAGCATGGTGGGTGGGTAAGACCATGCATCATGACCCCCCACCCCCAGACCGCTGATGAGTGCAGTCTGCTCTGCTTTGTTTGCATTTTGGGCCTTCATGCTAAGAAAGCATTCTGTTCCCCCAGTGATCCACCCTCCAGTGGAACTCCATGGGGCATGGGGTGGGGGGAGCTACAGAAAGAACGTAAGACTCCTGGGAGGGGCCCCTGCAGGGCTGACCTCGGCTGGCTCTGGCTGCCCGGCGAAGGGTGCAGCTTCCCGTGCCCGCCCTGCACAACCTCCCTCAGTGCGAGTCCCAGCAGAGAGCAGTCCCTACCTGAAACACAGTGAGGAGGGACTGGGGGAAGTTGTCGAATGTGCTTCTGCGGGTCTGCATCTCATCGAAGTTGAACTTCCCTCCGAAGAGCTGCATCCCCAGGAGGGAGAAGATGATGATGAAGAGGAAGAGGAGAAGGAGCAGGGAGGCAATGGAGCGCACGGAGTTGAGTAAGGACGCCACCAGGTTGCTCAAGGAGTTCCAGTACCTGCGAGCCAAGGGGAGGAAGTCAGCACCCTTCCCCGGGTTCCGTCCCTGCCCCACCCACGCGCCCACTGCAGGGGCGCAGGTGGATTTCCACCCCTCGCTGCCTTCCCCTTTCCTGGGGGGGTGCTGATGAGGGTGTGACCGGGGCCGCTAAGCTCCCTCAAGTCCCAGAGCCAGCAACATGGAATGGGGAAGGGAGGGGCAGTGGTCCGAAGCCAGGCCGCTGACCTAGCTCTGCAGCTGCCGCTGCACGTGCTTTTGAACAAGCCACTGCGCTTCCCTTCTGTCTGCGTCCCTGTCTGTAGAGCGGGGACCATGGTGGCACATGCTTCATTAGGTTACTGGGAGGATTACATGAGATAATCTAACCTGTCCAAGGCCCCCAGTATAGTGCCTGGCACACAGTTGATAAAGGTTAGCGATTACTGTCGTCACTGTTGCTCTTCAAATAGGGAAAAAATACCAAAGCATTTTTATTTTCAAGAATGCTATCTGAGCTCAGCCCGGCAGCAGTGGACAGCAGAGGCATGAGTTAGGTTTCCCATGGGTCGTGGCTTAGTGAAATTTCCCAAATTTATCCTGTCCCAAGAATTGGTTTCTAAAAGGCCTTTCCTCTGGAAATTCTGATTCAGTAGCTATAGTTTGGGGCCCTGATATCTGCGTTTTCAACAAGCATCCCATAGGACTCTGGCCAGCGGAGAGTCTGGGAGACCCCAGGCTACAGCAAGCAGGGGGCCCCACCGGGAGGGAGCGGGAGCTCTGCCCTGAGCAGCGCGGGCCTTCGCTGGGATCTCGGGGAAGAGGTCCCCGAGCCCCTCTCCGCTGTAAATATAGAGGCCCCTCATCACAGCCTAGGGGACCCCCTTTTCTTGGGGAGGTGGGAGAGGTAATGGCTGCTGGATGCGGCCTGGGCACCTGTGCAAAGGTCTCCTCAGCATCCGGGATGCCCTGTACCGAAAGGGCTAAGGCCCCAGCGAGCGACGCAGCCCCTCCGGCCCGCCTGCCCCCGGGTCACATCGTGGGGACCCCCAGCTCATCATCAGTCCACACAGTGGATCGCCTCTGCTGCTCTAGTGAACGGCCCGTGTCTCTCCAGAGAAGGGGTCTGGATGGTGACACGACCATCTTCCCTACTCGTCCTCTCACGCGCCTTTCTCCTTCACGGCCCAGCCCTTCCCCTCTTCTATTCTGTCTGCCAGCCACACCCCTGCGTGAAGAACATTAGCATACATTTATTCCTATCTGTTGTAGAAATGCTCTTAAGTGTATTTCGCTTGTGAAAATAGGCTCTAAGTTTTAGAGGGCAGAGCCCAGAGGTTTTTTCCCTCCATCTTCCCCAGTCTTCATCTTTAAGTAAATTCCGTACGACCCCGTATGTGAGCCAGGCTGCCTGGGGCCCCTGTGGGCAGGACGGTGACCTCCCTGAGGGTGGAGAGCCCCTCCTCTCACATGGACAGCAGTATTCCCAAGCCTGCTGGGTCCAACACCGCTCGGGAGTTTTATCATTTCTTAACCGCTCGGGAGTTTTATCATTTCCTAAATCTCGATTCCCAGGTCCCAGCCTGGAACCATGAAGTCCTAGTGTCTGGCGCTGGAGCTTGGTGACCCTCACGCAGCCAGCCCAACACTTGCTGTAGCTGGGAGTTAGAACCAGTAGCTTGAGAGTATATTTATAGTGAGACTCTCCAGCTGTGTCAGCGGGAGAGTGTCTGCACATGCACTGAAGTCACAGATCTCCCTAGAGATCCCTGTGCGCTGGTCATGGAATGTTCTGGAAAAGTCTCCATGGCCATGGAAGGCTGCAGCCTTGGTTTTCATGAAGTAAAAAGCCATGAGGGACATAACTCAAACCAGGCTTATAGCTGAGATTCAGATAAATCTGACAGCCCCAGGGATCCCAGCCCGAGCCAGATAAGGAGGCTCCGACTCCAGAGAGAAAGTCACCATAAAGTAGGACCAAGTCACCATAAAGTAGGACCGAGTCAGCAGAATGGCCCAGATGAGCGGAAGAAGAAGAAGAGGAGGGAAGAACAACACCTCGACAGAGGAGCCCCCAGGGCACCTGGGCTTCCAGGGAAGAGGAGGCTGTGAAAGATAAACAAATCAAGTCTGGGAGGAGAGGACTCTTCTGGGAAGGCTGCCCACGGAGCTGTGTGACAGCCGTATGCTCCAGGGGCCACCAGTGGGGCCGAGCATGTGATTAAAGTGCCTGCCCAGGCCCTGCCTCCCCCAGCGGGTATCCGGGGCAAGCCGGGCTTCTCTTAGTCAATCGGGTGACGGCTGACGAAGTCCAGACTGCGGGATGACAGAACTCCTGTCTCCCACCTGCCACCTTCCCCATCTCAGCCAGTGAGAACCGTGATTTGTGGCTCAAGCTCAAATCCTCAGAGTACTCCTCCCCCTCACACCCCACACCAGCAAATCCTGCAGCTCCATCTTCAAACAAGTCCTGAATCCGGCCACATCCATCACCCGGCCCAAGCCACTGGCCCCTCTCACCCTCACCGGCTGCCCCGCCTGGACCCTGGCTCCCTACGGCTGCTCCCCACACCACAGCAGGAGGTCCTGTTACGGTACGCCACACCAAGCCTCCAGCCTCCTTCAGCCCTTCGGTCACTGAGCCTCCTCCTCAGGGCAGAAGCCTGAGTCCTCGCAAAGGCCTGCAGACCCTGCAGAACCCAGCCCCACCGCCTCCGAGCAGCTGACTACACACCCCTCGCTGTCCTCTCGGGCCTCCTCACTGTCTCTCCAGCTTCCAAAGCTGTCTGCTGGGCCCCTGCTGGTCCTGCCATCTGGGCTCTCCCGCAGACACCGCAGACAGCCGTGCAGCTCGGCCCTCAGCTTCTTGGGGCCTCGGCCCACATGATGCCTGGCTGGGGGGGTCCTCCCCCGCCACCTCTCCACCCCCAACCCTACTTCTTCCTAGATATGGGCTGAGACAAAGAATTTAAGAAGACCCCAAAGACAATCACAGCAACAACAAACATTACTAAATGGAACTTGATTAAATTAAAAGGCTGCTACATAGCCAAGGAAACAACAGAGCAAATAAACAACCAACAGAATGGGAGAAAATACTCGCATGCTACACATCTGATAAAGGGCTAATAACCAAATCTACAAAGAACTCAAGAAAATTGGCAAGAAAAAATCAAACAGCCCCATTAAAAAGTGGGCAAAATACATGAACAGAAGCTTTTCAAAAGAAGATAGACGACTAATGGCCAACAAACATATGAAAAAATGCTCAATGTCACTAATCATCAGGGAAATGAAAATCAAAACCATGATGAGCTATCACCTAACCCCAGTGAGAACGGCTTTTATCAAAAAGCCCCAAAACAATAGATGTTGGCGTGGATGCGGAGAGATAGAACGCTCACACACTGCTGGTGGGACTGCGAACTGTGCAACCTCTGTGGAAAGTAGTACGGAGATGCCTCAAGGAACTACAAGTAGACCCACCATTTGATCCAGCAATCCCACCACTGGGGATTCACCCAAAGGAAAAAAAGTCATTCGGTCAAAAAGACACTTGCAGTCGAATGTTCACTGCAGCTCAATTCGCAATCGCAAAGACGTGGCATCAACACAAGTGCCCATCAATTCATGCGTGGGTTAATGAAATGTGGCTATGTATGCCATGGAGCACTCCTCAGCCATGAAAAATGAATTAAAACCTTTTGCAACAATCTGGATGGAACTGGAGACCATTCTCCTAAGTATTGCAAGAATGGAAAAACAAACACCACATGTACTCACAATTAAATTGGAACTAACCAATCAGCACTCAAGTGCACAGATGGAAGTAAAACTCAACAGAAATTGTGCAGGTGGCGGGGGGCAGAGGGGTGGGTGAAATCACACCTAATGGGTACAATGTACACTATCTGAGTGACGGGCACACTTATAACTTAGACTCAAGCAATACAACAGCAATCCATGTAACCAAAACATTTACACCTCCATAATACGCTGAAATAAAAAAAAAAAAAAGACAAATGCAGACGCTGGTTGTTTGTGCTGTTTATCTTCAACCTACTATTGCTTCCCATTCAACAGGGGCAGAGGTGGGCTGGGGCCCATGGGTGGCCGGCCACCTGTCCCTTCTCTGCCTCTGGAGCAGGATCGAGAGGGCAGACCTGGAGCTGGGGCCTGGCAGCAGGAGGGTGCACCCCCAATGTGCCCATGAGTGGGGGTGTGCTATGAACCCTCTAGGAGACTGGACTGAGGAGCCGCCGAAATGATGGGGTGGCCAGCGGGGTCCAGAGGAGAAGAGTGGGCTTCTGAGCCTGGCGTGGCTTGGCTGATTGATGGTAGGGTCCAGGGTGGGGGTGTCATTGTCAATTAACAGAGGAGACTTGTAGGTGTCCAGTGGCAGCCTTGGAGGTAGGTATGGTGACATGAAGTGGCTGGCAGTCTGCAGATCCGTACTCTCCTGTCTTTACTATCACCTAACTCTCTCTGGCTGACACTGCTTCGGCCTGAAGATGGCTGGTAGCCTCTTGTCCCAGAACCGCCCTCCTCCTCAGGAAGATTCGCTAGTGGTGAACTGGAGGGGTTCATGGCACATTAGCAATCACCTGAGACTTTTTTCCTAATTGATCAAAAATATGAAATACATATGTTCACATCCCCCCCAAAAGAAAGCTCTGGAGAGAAGGGAGCAGCATCAGAGCACAGTATTTAAGGTCTTTTGTTGCAGACATCACAGAGAAATGGAGAAAGCAAAGCGGCTTCTCTGCAGAAGGCACACGCCCCACGCACATGCACGCTCGTGCTCAGCATTGGGTCACAGCGCCAGGAGCACCCCACACCGCACCATCAGCCTTCGAATAACATTTCCTTCCCGTTCTCCTGCCCCCTGGACTCATTCTCTCCCAAGTGTGGGTTTTTGCCCACCAGTGCCCCATCCAGCTCGCCCAGATCACCGTTTTCTCTTTAAAGTTCAGTGCATGTGAGAGTTTGTACCTGACCAAGTTCTTTTTTATCCCAATTCTC